AGAGATAATAGAAAATATATAATCCGTATTCAACATCGTTTGTAGGATGAAACCTAATCAACCCAAAAGTCTACGCACTCATCCTTGTAATTTAGAATCGTAAGGTAAACACAATAAAGCCGAATTCGATATGACACATTGTCAATTTTAACTCTCATTCTTTAATAACAATTATTCTATAATATGCAAAGGTCATTAACCGTATGAATTGAAGGGCGTATACTAAGGTTTATTGAAACTTTAGCCATACGAAAATTCAAAATCCTTTTAAGTATTCAAAAACAGTTTGTCCTCAACTTAAACCTACCCTGGTAATATTAACCTATTATCCAATATGATTAGTTTTCACATAGTTTTTCATATTATTTACCTTATTTATCATTGTCTCCTCTTACTCTCCTGTTTGTCTAGTTAACTTTTGATTGTTATATATAACTGCTCTTAACAGGTATAAGTATTATCATTATTGTTCGAAATACATTGTGCTAATACACCACATGGTTTCGATAATATTTGTCTTCTTATTACACCATCCAACTATATCAAAGGGGCTAATTGTTTTAAATTGAAAGGTAACCAGAATTCCGGAGTATCATAACATTATTTGGCGTGTAAACGATGAAAATATCTTCAGTGCCGTGTCACATTACCTTAGTATAAATTTGATATATACAATGCATACAATCATAATTATAATCATTCATTCGAGTATTTTTTTTGGTCACCGATCGATCAATAGTTATCCTCATTTATACTGACCCTTATTTGATCTACTTAAAACAAAATCTCTTATCTTCTAGTTGAATTTTTGACCTTTAGTCTATAATATCCAAAGAATTCTAGCTAATTTGATGAATTATTTATTTTCAGAAGGGGTTTTGTGGAGATTTTAGTATTTTTATAGAGTTGAGATCATGAGTCAATTGAAGCTAGACTACCATGGAAAACCTGGAAGCACTGCTGAGGAGTCCCATAATAGGACGAAACGGCCGTCCAGTGCTTCCAGGTTTTCCATGGTAGTCTAGCTTCAATTGACTCATGATCTCAACTCTATAAAAATTATTTATTTGTTGAAAGTTAATTTTATGTATAACTATGAACTACACTCTATAGTCTCTACTCATTATACACATTTATACTAACTTACATAACCTATTCATCACATTAATTATTTCATATATATCTTCCATAGTGAAACATTAAAAACTGAAACCGATGAAATGGGGATTTGATTTCCCAAGAGATTTTGTCATATTGAATTATTTTTGTTTCATAATATGAACTTTATATTTACATGATTTATTATTGTTACTATGTACATTTGGTTTTGTTAATACATTTATCACACAAACACATTCAGTTAAAACTAATCGATCGAAAAAAAGTACACACACACACATACATACACACACACACAAATTGAAGTATCTAGTTGGATATTCATTTATAAATAGTAAAACATTTTTACAAGTATATAGGAAAACAAAATGGAATAGGGTTTTAGCAACAACAGCAACAAAAAAAAACAACAACAACATTATAACTTATCCATTATACATGTCATTAACTATTAGTGATCAGATAATATTACTTTTCCAATAAATAAATCAACCATATTTTTACATAACTAGTAAACAAAACATGATTTCTATAGTTGAATTTATGAGTCTATTAAAATTAGACCACCATGGAATACCTGGAAAAAACTGGACTGGCTGAAGTTAAACATTAACACTGTTGTATGCTGGTTGAGTGGTCTTGCGTGAGAGACCGATAGGTCCTGGGTTCGAATATCGTGGAAGGGATCACGGGTGCGCAATGCTAAAAAATTCCACAATAGGATGAAACGGCCTTCGAATTCTTCTAGGTTTTCCATGGTGGTCTAGCTTCAATTGATTCATGATTTCAACAATATAAAATTACTAAAATCCCCACAAACTCTTTATCTGTTAAAACATGATTTGGTGTCCTAATGAAATAAAGATTTCATTTACTCAGGGGGAATTTAATTTTCTAATGTACTTTAAAGGTATGTACATTGTTTTTTTTTTTACAAAAGTCTAGCATATTTATTATAAGGTTCGTTAAAGCACACTTCCATGTGGTGATATTAAATATCGAAAGCGGTAAATGAAAATTGAATTGGATTAGGTTTTGATTTACGACTTTAAAAGAAGAATGTTGATCATTTTACCCGAAATAAAGAAACTGAAAAAAATTCAATTACAATTTATGATTCAATAACATATTACTAGAAATTTTACTGGGTAATACTGACATTGACATTGTGGTAGGATTATTCGGTTTTCAATTAGTGGATGATAGGTTTAATATTCTGATTAATATATCACGATTTAGACAGATAAACTGTACGAAGTTGAGCAACCATTCACCAATTGTCTTCAGTTAGTTGATATCTCACAACAGACGTGGTTGAACTCCACTGGTCACTGCTTCCCATTAGAACTCCAGGACATGTATCTTGAAGTCAGTGAGTTCGTGGGTTCGTGGATGCACACTGCTGAGGAGTCCCATAATAGGACGAAACGGCCGTCCAGTGCTTCCAGGTTTTCGATGGTGGTCTAGATTCAATTGACTCATGATTTCAACTTTGAAAAATACTGAAATCTCCACAAATCCCCTTCTAAAGATAAATTGTATACTTAACTTAAATCTTAAATGTGTAGTTTAAAGTGGAGTAAATAACATGTGCTTGGTGTATACATCTAAGAAAACAAGTCCAGTTATTTGAAAACTGAAATTATGCAGTAAAATTGAACGATCAGTGATTGTCAACGAACACAAAGATCAGAATTTTCCATACAAATGTCAAGACAGTTCTATTGTATGGGGTGGAAAGCTGGAGAACTACGAGGGTCATCATCCAGAATTTACAGCTGTATATTAACAGTTGTCTACGCAAAATACTTCGGATCCGTTGGCCAGACACTATCAGCAACAACCTACTGTGGGAGAGAACACCCAACTGCGTCACAGGACAAGCCCTCATATGGACTCCTGAAGGCCAAGTGAGGAGGGGAAGACCAAAGAACACATTACACCGTGAAATGGAGATAGGTATGAGAAGAATGAACAACAACTGTATAGAACTAGAAAGGAAGGTTGAGGACAGAGTGGGTTGGAGAATGCTGGTTAGCGGCCTATGCTCCATTGGGAGTAACAGGCGTCAGTAAGTAAATGATTGTTTTTAGTTACTGAAAAGTGCTTAAATTGCTTTTTATATAAACTAATTATCAGTGAGAATAACTAAGTGTTGCAATTACACTTTTCCATCGTATTCAAACATAAGGAGGGCTGTTATTCGTAAAATACGACAATGTCAGTATGAATCTTTTGGACAATTAAAGCAAATAATAAACTCATAAGACATAGTTTTCGAAGTCTTTCTTGATGACTTACTGAAGTATGTCATTTTCTTTGTCAGAAAGTTGAATATAGATTTACTAAATATTTACCTAGTCAAGTGAATTATATTATTTGGAAGATATCTTATAACAGCAATGATAATGAATCACAAAACTATGATGGCTAACAATTTTGCATTCATATTGATTTGATGATATTTAGTTTGTATTTTTATAGTTAAAAGCGTGAGTCAATTGAAGCTAGACCACCAGGGTAAACCTTATTTAGCTTCAATTGACTGACGCTTTCAACTATGAAAATACTAAATCTCCACAAAAACCCTTCTGATAGTTTGATAGTTTTGGACAGAGTTTTGTTCTCTGAGCTGGACCCAAAACATGACAGTGCTCACTATCAAATGATCAGTCAATTTTATAGATGGTCAATTTTTGACTACCTGCAACCATCTAATCCATTTAAACTAACTAGTTATTCAAAAAATGAACATCAACAACGCAAGCTGACAGTTAACTAAAATAATTACCAACCAAACAATATTTCGCTAAAATCTGATCTCTAATTTCTGTGGCCATGTTAGCATAGAGCATTATTTATTCACATACTGTGCTAAGGCCATCTGGAAACCAAGATTCAAGCATTCTTTGTAACAAAACAGGATAATGAATTATATGAATAAATTGTATTACTATTATATCACGTGGAGATTTATGAATGGTAGCTTTGGGAAATATTTATGAACCAATATGATATGTATATCTACTATTGTATAATTTTTAACTAACTTAAGTATTCATATTAATGTTCCCTTTTCCATTATGAGCTTTATTTTGACCCATAGACTATTACTGTACGATTTAGCATTCCCGAGTTATCCCCAGTCTATTAATTACTGTTTCCTCCTGTTCACAGCCACATTTGACTGAATCTTATACAAATGTTATTTTCTGTTTTATGGTACGATGTGGTTAGTTTGATTGGTATAAAAGCCCAGTATGTTTGAAAATAATGATTCATATTTCAGAGGCTGTTATTAATGTTCTGGACTTAACTGGTTGGGCTAGTCAGAAAGGAGGACCGATAAGTACTGAAGAATACATATACTGCTTTTGTGTATCGTAGCTCTGATCGATAATTCACTTCTCTCTCATTGATGGCATATACACGATATAACAATTACAAAAGTATTTGCATAGTTGAAATCATGAGTCAATTGAAGCTAGACCACCATGGAAAACTTGGAAGCACTGGACAGCCGTTTCTTCCTATTGTGGGACACCTCAGCAGTTTGCATCCACGATCCCACCTCGCGAGATTCAAACCCAGGACCTACCAGTCACACGCCAGAGCACTCAATCGATATACCACTAATACGGCATCCTATTTCTAACTTCAACCAATCCAAGAATTTGAGCAACCGTTCACCAATCGTCTTCACTGAGTTGATATCTCACAACAGTCGTGATTGAACTCCACTCCAGGACGAAATGGCCGTCCAGTGCTTCCAGGTTTTCCATGCTAGTTTATCTTCAATCGACTAATGATTTAAATTATGCGAATACTGAAATCTCCACAAAACCCTTTCTGTTAATTAAAAAAAGTATTATATTACTTACTTGTGTAAATATATATCCTTTTGGTTCTTTATAAGATAAACTAATTTTAGTTATATTTGAATTAGTTGAATTAGGAAATATAAAATGTGGTGAATTATCATTATGATCTAATATTTGAATACGTATTTGTATATTTTCCGATAATTTTGGTATCCCTTTATCATTTGCATGAACAATAAGGAAAAGAATTGGTGTTAACATGGAATAATTAGTTTTATTTATGAATTGTGATATTCTTTCATTTTCAAATGGTTGATAAGTGGATAAAGCCTTAGATACATAGCTAGTACTTTTCATAATAAGATCTTCACGATCTATGATAGATTCTATATACAATTTCACTTCATATGATGTTTCATTTGTATTAAAAGAATTATAATAGTTTGTATGTAAAGGATATGAAGTTAATTTAAATTTTGATATAGATTCAATGTACTTCCTTTGTCGTAAACCAGATGAATAAAGTAGACCTCTTGAATTAAATCTTAATTGTTCCATATCATTAGGGATATTCAGATTCTTATTTAAAGTTGTTAAGTACATATTAGGTCGTTCAAAATTCTCTTCAATATAAATTTCCAATTCAGCATTTTTACCTAAATCTTTATCTGTAACATAAAATGTACCAACTAATTGTCCTATTGCATTATTTTCTTTAAGTGCAAATTGATAATAAGGTTGAGAATAGGAAGGAGGATTATCATTGTAATCTAAAACTTTGACATGAACTACAATTCTAACAGTTCTTGCTGATTCACCATAATCTGAACAGATAATAGTCACAGTGAATTCGTTTAATTTTTCACGATCTAAATTTCCTAAAGTACTCATAGTACCTGAATTTGAATCAATTGTGATAATATTTAAAAGAAAAGGTGGAGTTTCATGATCAAGACTAAAATGTAATTTGGCATTTTGACCTTCATCTTTATCAGTAGCATGAATAGTTATAATTTCAAAGTTTGATTTACTTCTTTCTGGATTTGAATCTTCACTAATTTCAACATTGTAAACATTCTGTTCACAAATTGGATCATGATCATTTATATCAATAATTTTTATACGTTGTGAAAGGGTGGTTGTTAGCGAAGGAATTCCACCATCATGACACAGAATAGTAAACTCTATGACATCATTTTCTTCTCTATCTATTCTTTTTTCCACTGTTATTTTATATTTCTGATTAGAGCTTGTCAAACCTAGATGAACACCTTCAATATTGATAGGAATTAGACGTAGAATACCTGATGTAGTTTGATTAATTATTTTACAGTTCACAAGAGCATTTGTTCCTGTATCTCCGTCTGAAACTTCCACAATTCCTATATCTTGCCCAGGAGGAGATTCTTCAATTATTTCCAAATCTTTTGAACCAGTAGGAGATAGGACTCGAACACGAGGAAAATGATCATTTACATCTATTACATTTACAATGATCTGTGTTATCGATGACTCTGAAATAATCTGAGAAGATTTAACATGTCTTGACGTAGTATTATCTGGATTTTTCGCGAATACTTTCAAAACATGTTGTGGTTTTTGTCGATAATCTAAACGATTCCGTAATTTAATTTCACCGGTATCTGAATCAATATAAAAAAATTTCTCTTCATCAATATCATCTGTATAAGAATTAAAACTGTAAATAATTTTACCATTTTCATATTCATCCTCATCAATAGCTTTCAATTTTATAATAATTTGATCTATTAATGTATCTTCACTTATATTTACAATATACATAGATTGTTCAAATCTTGGCATATGATCATTACAATCTTCTACAATTATTGTTACATTAAGATAACATTGATGATTAGTTAATGAATAACCATCATCGGCTATAATTTGAAATGTATACAATTTCTGTTCTTCATAATCCAACTTATGTATAAGTTCTAATTCTAAATAAATATTAGGTATGGTACCATTTTTTGATAATGAAAGGCTATGTAATTTAAAATAATTTTGTATACTTTGACTAGTTACTGTACTAGAATCAGTATTTATCCGAATACGATCTAATTTCACTGAATTCCCATTTAATACATCATCTGGATCATATGGTATATTCAATATGAAACGTGTATCATTCACTGGTGCATCTTCACGTATTCTAATAATTTGTTCATTAGATGGTAAAAATTTACATCCATTATCATTGATATCCTTGAGTTCAATAATTATATCAAAGATAGCAACTAATTTATTACTTAAAGGGGTTTTATATTTTATATAATTAGATATATTTAAAAATGGTGTAGTATTTAAACAATTTACACTAAAATATAATTCACATTTATTATTAATGATTGGTATATTCATTTTCCAATGATTTTGTTTTATGAATTGTTCATTATTATATAATGATGATAATTCAATACTACTTAATTGTTGATTATAAGTAGCAGTAGTAGTAGTAGTAGTACATAAGGTTTCTCTATCTAATTGATACAAATTCATTATATCACCAGTATATTGATTCACTGTAAAGAATTTAGAATGATCATCTATATTTGTTAACTTAATAAAATGTAAATTATTTATATTACCATTTATATATTGTAATAAATTACCAATAGTTGTATTAATGCTTAATTCTTCATTCATATAAAATCGTATCAAACGTGTATCATTAAATGTTATATAAAATATAATAATTAATAATTGGATATGTTGATGGATATTATAGAATAAATCCATTTATAGAATTAATGATATAAATAGTTATCATTATCTTGTTTTTTTTTGTTTTTTTTTGGAATAAAAATGAAAAAAAAGAAAAAAGAAAAAGAAGAAAAAAGAAAAAAATTTAGGGACTGACCAGTTGCGGTCCTAAAACATCAATGAGAAGATTCAGACAAACAATTGTAAGTGAATTTAGAAATCAGATTCAATTGGAGATTTGGTTTTTAAATTAGAATCTTTTTTTAAAAAGAAAAGAAAAGAAAAAGAAAGAAAATTCTTTTTCATTAAAATTGATAGATTGAAAGAATTCAGTAGTATAGTATTTTTGTTTAGTTTTTTTGTGTTTTTTTTTACTACGTTAATGATGTTATTGTGGAAAATGTTGGTGAAATAATAAAATATTTTTTTGATGGACAATTATTATTTATTTATTTAGTTAGAATGAATTTGATTGGTTCTTTTTTGATTAGCCAATCATATTTCTTTAAATCTTATTTAATCTATCTATGATAAACTGTTAGGATGATCATAGTTTTATTTAATTTTATTATTTAGAATAATAATAATGATTCATTTTTATTTGTTAACAAATAGAAATAAATTTAAAATATTGGTTAATTTATCAGAATTGTCTATAAAATTCACTTATTATTGTTTGTTTGAATGTTCGCATTGATGTGTTAGGACTACAACTGGTCAGTCTCTAATTGGCATATGTGCATACTGTGCGTATTGTCTTGATAAAGCCTACATTCATAAGCATGTTAAGCAAAGATGGACTCGTCAACTGGATGACCAGTCCTAAATACTAAGATACGGGCGTCAAGATGGATTCCCTTGCTTACCAGAATTGTCTATAGTTTACTATGAACTAATATTAGGGTTTCATTAAAAATATCAATAAGCTTTGAAAATGTGAATTTATCATAAAGATCAATTAATTGAGGTAGCTATGAATGTTCCGGGTTTGAATCCGGAGAGTGGGATCGTACATGCGCATTGCTGAAGAGTTTTACTGTGATATGGGTTACTTACATCCACATAGGTATTGGATAACAATGGTCGGACATTGAAGGTATTTCAGTAGAAGATCGATAATGAAAGAACGGGAACTAAATGCAATTGGTATCAAAATGCATGGACAATAGTAATCGGAGACGATGGACTGATATCTACAGAAGAAGCAATCAAAACTGAATTTGCAAATTAACTATTTACTACATGGTTCTCATATGTTACTAAGATATTTTGTAATGTCGTGCCTAAATATATATTCGATTGTCCCCGCTCGTATTCTCTTTCACTACACCAAAATATGACGAAACGGCCTTCTGGTGTTTCCAGGTTTTCAATGGTGGTCTAACATCAATTGATTGATGATCCCAATCAAAAACGTTATAATCTCCACAACCCCATACTAATTATGTTTGCTTTCAAAAATAAAATTGTCCATTGAAGTGATTTATTTTATTAAACTGATTTTTATTTCAATAAATTTCAAATATTTATACATGAATAACCGAAAAATATTTATCTTAGTAAACAAAAGTATGTAAAAATAACTTTCAAAAAATTTACTTTCCTCTTGTGAAAACTTATCATTTGAACTGAATTGTAGATGAAGATGCTTAACAAAGTTAAGAATTATATATGAATGGATGAGGTATTCAGTTAGTCAGTTGTTGAGATGAAATACAGGAGTACACGAATAAAAATATACAGAATGTGGGCTGTATTAAAAAGCTGAATGACGACACTCCAAAAATCAAAGGGGAAGGTTATGAATAAGTTGATATTCCGGGTCACTTCTAAATACTTACCTATCGAGTAATGAATTTTTTCTAAGGTATCAACACTTTTTGAGAAGTATTGAAAAATAGCGGAGAAAACAATCGTATAATTGTAATCATGGTTAGTATAGTAACGAGTTAAGAAAGAACTACTTCACCTGTAAATATTTATAGTTTACCGTTATTGTTGCTAACGATTTCAACTTATCATTCGTCCTGAATTCTGACAACTGTACGATACCTGTTAAAAGTTGTCACTAAATAACGATATAGAAATACTCCGCTCAACTTACTTAATAGACACAAGATACTGATCATCTACAGTCATTAACTTCAACAATAGACGGATAAAAACATCCACAAATACAATAAAAACTTATATTCGTTAACCAAGTGAAATCAATGGCTTAGCGAATAAGGCGTTGGATGTTTGAAGAGAGAAGCAGATAGATAAGTAGTAACTTTAAACTAAGAATTTGAGGTTGAATGAGTGTACTTGCAGTTTATACTTCTCTTGTAATTATCCATATGTAGCTCAATTATTGCAGATATTATGGAGTAGTATGTAATAATGGCTGTACTTTAGGGTCCTAAAAACATGGACACATAGACCATGTGAACCACACATGGATTATTTTAATCATATTAGCTGTACGGCACAAATCGTTTTATTAGTTTAAGTTCAATAAACGTTTCCTAAAGGGATTGGAAATATTGTTCTGAACTAATTATTGGAATGTTTTAAACAAAAACTTTATATGTTGTTTTTCATTTAATTAGCACACACTTTTTTCATTAATTTGGTCGAACACGAAATGTCAATTACGTTCATTTCAATAATGTTCTCACTTTTCTACCTAGACGTATGAAAGGCTAAGTGGCAAAATTTGAAATAAGAGTCCAGTGTTTCCAGGTTTTCGATGGTGGTCTAGCTTTAATTGACTCATGATCTCAACTCTATAAAATTACTAAAATCTCCACCAAACCCCTTTTGATAATTGGAGTATATTTCTTTTTCCGTTAAACAGTACCTTGGAAACATTATGTTAGAGATTTGAAAGCTGCCATTTGATAACTAAACTTAGTTAAATTAGCACATCAGTCATATAGTTAGGTCATCTCAGTAATTCTTGTCCAAATATCATCATGTTCTTCAAAAAAATTTTTCCACAAAGCTCACAGTAGGCAATGTTGTCCATTTATGACATGTTTGCAAACACTAATACAAAGTGGTTTATAATTTGTATTAGTCTTCTAGGTCATTGTTTGACATTTGCAGCCTTATGATTTGCTAAAAAAAATGTCTTTTGTTTAGATAAATTGAATCAGAACAAGGTCAATGTTAATGTTGTTAATCGTAATGCCAACATCTAGCCGTTTCATTAGATGTTATGATAAGAAATAGTCATTAGTTGAGTAAGATTTGATTGAATTTTATGAGTTACTAGGTGATTCCGGTCTGTAATTTATGAAAGAATCAATCAGTTAGAAAAAATATTTGTGTGCATATGACGAAACGATTTCGACGAGAGGAATACTAACAAACATGAAGCCGTAAGCAGCTATTACATCCTACCTTTTCTGAAAAAGTAATTATGTGTGTATATAGAAAGAAATAGTGATGAATATTATCCCGTAGAGTAGGATTTTCTAAAATGATCAAGTTGCAAGAGAATGGATTAATACAAAGCATGTTTCACCATAGGACAACTCACCGACTCATTCGAGGTAAGGACCGGTATTAGGCAAGGTTGATTACTCTCACCCTTTCTCTTTCTCCTGGTCATCGACTGGATCATGAAGACGTCAACATCTGCAGGAAAGCACGGGATACAGAGGACAGGCAGGATGCAGCTTGACGATTTAGACTTCGCAGATGATCTGACTCTTCTATCACAAACGCAACAACAAATACAGGAGAAAACGACCAGTGTAGCAGCAGACTCAGCAGTAGTAGGTCTCAATATAAACAAAGGGAAAAGCAAGACTGTCCGATACAATACAACATGCACTAATCAAATCACACTTGACGGAGAAGGTTTGGAGAATGTGAAAACCTTTACATATCTTGGGCAGCATCATTGATGAACACGGTGGATCAGATGCAGATGTGAGGGCGAGTATCGGCAAAGCAAGATCAGCATATTTACAACTGAAGAAAATCTGGAAGTCGAAACAATTGTCAATCAACACAAAGATTAGAACTTTCAATACAAATGTCAAGACGGTTCTACTGTATGGGGGGAGATATGGAAAACTACGAAAACCATTATCCAGAAGATACAAGTGTTTACTAACAGCTGTCTACGCAAGATACTTCGGATCCGATGGCCAGACACTATCAGCAACAAATTACTGTGGGAGACAACAGACCAGATTCGAGTGGAGGAAGAAATCAGGAAGAAGCGCTGAAAGTGGATTGCGCACACTAATGAACTAAGGTCTAAGGTTTTCTGCTAACCACATTCAGCCACATTACTATTTTTTTATCTTCCTTCTTACATTCCATGATTTCTTCATTAAAGATTCTTATATTTTAAATGATTATTACGATTCATAATAACAGTTACCTTCATCTTCCAATCACCTCCATTCAAATTTCAATTAATAATTCTTTCATACAATTGTAATTTCTTTTTTTTCAAAAAAGATATTGTCAAATTTCGTATAAATTTAAACGAGTAGTTTCGTAGTATTTGGGCGTCGAATTGATATAAGGCATTAAACAAGAAGAATGTATTTGTAAAGCTTCAGCAAATAAAT